TCTGTAGAGGTCCGTGATAGCAGATTTTTCCCATTGCAGTTCATCTTTTGATTTTCTCACTGCTGGTGTTGATTGTGGAGCTGAGCAAGCTGAAACTGTTAACAACCTCAATCTCTTCTCTGTATATTACGGTGCTGCCCATTGGCCCAGTGGTGAGAATCTTTGTCTTCTTGATGTTGAGCTTCAATCCATATTGACCTTCTTCAGCAAGTGTTTTAGGTCTTTCTCAGTTACAGCAAGCAAAGTGTGTCATCTGCATATTATAGGTTGTTGGTGAGTCTTCCTCCAATCCCAATGCCACAGTCCTCATAAATCCCTGCTTCCCGAATGATCTGTTCTGCCTGTAGATTAAAACATATGATACTGTTCAATAATGTCCATGTTGTTGGTCACTTAGTGAGAGGGAAGCAGACACCACTTCAAGCGTTTATTCCTGTACGGTTTGGTGGTGGTGTTTACAGCCTTGGGGTTGTGCAGTATTGTCTCCATCCTCTTTCTCTCTTGTTCACATAAATCCCGTGCCCAGTAAGGTTCCTGCCGAAGATTCAAACTGTGATCAAGTTGACAGTTTTCAAAGATCACACTGCTCTAGGTAGCCCATTTTTACTACTTAAACAGAACAACTGTTTTTGTTTTGTGAGTGTGTGTGTGTGTGTGTGTGTGTGTTCATTTCAGTGAACATCTACAGAGATTTTGGATTTCCATTCATTCATTGTTGCACTTTTCTCCCCACCCACCCCACCCCCAGTTCGCTCCTCTCCTTGAAAAGCAAAAGAAAAACTCCTTCATTGGAACACAATCCCCCCACCCTGAGTATACTTCACTCTGCAACCCTCATTATGGACTCTTACGATAATCATAATGCCCTGAAATATATTAAACTATTCTCTCCCTTGTCGGCTTCAATGCAGTAAACATAATTTATCCAGTTTTTCTCAGTCTTTGTCAGCCTCATTCTACAACAGTGGCACCATGTAGTGTTTGTCCTTTTGTGACTGAGATATTTCACTCACCATAATGCTTCTTAAAAGATTAATTCAGGGACATTTGTGGTTCAAGGTCTTCAAAGTCTTCTCAGGGAAGTAGTTTCAGAGGTTCCTCACCCTGGACGGCTCCTGAAAGCCTGGCATCTTTGAGGATTTGAAATTCCGTTCTGTGTTCACCCCCCTTTTGATTCAGCTTCTCTAGACTCTCTCGTCAGAATGTTGAGTACCAGCAGCCAGGCTTGTGGTCTCATTAGTGCCGGCCAGGGGCAAGCTTTCCGTCTCCTCTTCCTCGTCTGGGCCCCTCCTCCTGAATGAGGACCAGATGGACACTTGGAGAGCAAGTCTGCTGCCGGGGATGCTGGTCTGCAGGCTTCTCCCACCCTAGGATGAGGACATCATCTGTGTGTCGTTAGGACAGTGTCCTGGGATATGCCCTCTAACCATGGCCCTAAACCTCCACACCAAGGCAGCCAGTTCCTGAAGGGTTTGGTGTGTGTGTGAGCCACCAGCCCTCACCTGCTCAGGCCACGTTCCCTGCTCTGTGCGCTGAGACTTGGGTTAGGTTACAGAGGAAATGGCTTTTACATTTAAATTCCCGGAGGTTCTGGTGTGTGCGCTGGTGGCAGCCCGACAGTGCCCCAGCTTCCGTCTCTTGCCAGGCACCTGCATGCTGTCTCTTCCTGACTCCTGACCTTTACCCAGGACAGAGGCCAGGCTCTCCTGCTGCTCTGTGTGCAGCGGGGCTCCTCCCAGGCCCTGCTGCCTCTGTGGCCAGGTCTGAGGGCGTGCCCCTGCCTGCTTGCTTGAGAGGTGACTCCCGGCCTGGAAGCCTGGGACTTGGAGTCAGTGGTGGGTTCCCATGTCCTCCCTCCGTCCGTGAGCGTCTCTCCCGGGTCGCCAGCGGCGGCTGCCACCATCCCGTCCTGGGCTGGAGGACAGTTCTCAACGGTGAGCGTTCATGGTTCCTGGTGCTGCAGAAACCCACACCTCCCCACTGTGAGCCAGGCCAGTGACGGTCCCTGCTGGACGCTCTGAGATGCGGCAGGCGTGGGAAGGTGGGGGGGGCATTTCTGTGCCCTGCTGTGTGTCCAGGGTCCTGGGTGGCCGCACGGGGTGAGGCACATGCCCATCTGCTGAGCTCGGGCCTGCAGAGCCCACCCAGTGCTGCCTCCTGAGGGAGATTCCTCCCTGGAGAGCTCTCGAGGCTTGTTGGCTGAGCTGCGGAAGTGGGGTGTCATCCCGCTGGACATGAGAGACGGACCTGGGGTGATTGAGGAGCCTGCCCAAAGCCGAGCCTTTCAGTGTCAGTGTAAACCCGACCCTGACCCCGACCCCAGAGGGCACCACCGTGTGGACCTGCCCGCAGGTCTTCTCTCAGATTCCTGCCTCCACCTGTGAAGCTTCCCCTGCCAGGCAGGACTTGGGGGTCCCAGGCGCAGTCTCCAGGACGCCTGCCTGCAGGAAGGCTGCCCAGGGCTCAGGCACAGTCCCCTCAGAGCTGGGGCAGCTGGCACGTCCACTGGTGTGAAGCTGGGAGGGGCCCCGTGCCAGAGGCCAGCTGTCCTCCCGCATGCTGAGTGTCCCCTGTGTTGACAGGCGTCACCGCCGAGATGCAGAACCTGGTGCAGCGGCGTATCTACCCCTTCCTGCTGATGGTTGTGGTCCTCATGGGCATCCTGTCCTTCCAGGTCCGCCAGTTCAGGCGTCTCTATGAGCACATCAAAAACGACAAGTAAGCCCTTCTCAGGTGCTCGGGCTCGGCTGAGGCCAGGGACGGCTCCACGAGCCGGGGTTAGAGGAGGGGTCACCACACACGGAGATGGGCCGGGGGTTAGAGGAGGGGTCCTCACGCACGGAGATGGGCAGGGGGTTAGAGGAGGGGTCCTCACGCACGGAGATGGGCAGGGGGTTAGAGGAGGGGTCCTCACACATGGAGATGGGCAGGGGGTTACGGGCCGGGGGTTACAGGAGGGGTCACCACACACGGAGATGGGCCGGGGTTAGAGGAGGGGTCACCACACACGGAGATGGGCCGGGGTTAGAGGAGGGGTCACCACACACGGAGATGGGCCGGGGGTTACAGGAGGGGTCCTCACGCACGGAGATGGGCAGGGGGTTACGGGCCGGGGGTTACAGGAGGGGTCCTCACGCACGGAGATGGGCCGGGGTTAGAGGAGGGGTCACCACACACGGAGATGGGCCGGGGTTAGAGGAGGGGTCCTCACGCATGGAGATGGGCCGGGGGTTAGAGGAGGGGTCCTCACGCATGGAGATGGGCCGGGGGTTAGAGGAGGGGTCACCACACACGGAGATGGGCCGGGGGTTAGGGGAGGGGTCATCACAGAGACGGCTCCACGGGCCAGGGATTAGGGGAGGGGTCCTCACACACAGAGATGGGCCAGGGGTTACAGGCCAGGGGTTAGGGGAGAGGTGTGTGTCAGGACCACACAGTGTTCCACACTTGTGAGACCCTCAGCTGGAAAAAGCCTGCAGTGGTTTGGGGAGCATGTGGCGAGCGGCTGGAGGCTGCATTGCTGGCTGGATGAGAGGGCCAGTCCCTCGGTACCACCAGCAGACACATGGACCAGCTGAAAGCTGGCCACTGAGAGATGCTTCTCCCGAGGCCAAGGAGGCCAAGACCTTGCTGCACGGCTGCTCCGCCCTCAAACCCCAGCCGTCCTGTCAGTGATGTTGCAGCCTGGTCATCATCCCACACCAGACCCTGATGCTGGCCCCGCACTCCAGGTCCTCAGAGGGTCTCTGCAGGAACACCTGTCAGCCGGCATCACCTCACCTGCACCGTCCTACATGCTGCACCTAAACCTGCCCCACACACACTTACC